CAATCAGGGGCGGCGGAGCGTCATTAAGCTAGGTGAGGCTCATCATATTTTTTTGCTACCGTGGAATTTTATGAAACATCAAGTAGTAAATAAGTCTTCTTTTTATTGAACTTCAGTAAAAATAAAAAGGGTCAATATAAAAAAAGAAGATTGGAAAATACCGAAAACTAGTTTTCTTTGCTTCTACTCTGATGCAAGAACAAGAAAATAGCAATATTCAGTACAAAAGCAAGTGAGGCTGAGCCTCTTATTGCGAAATCTAGGTGAGACTGAGCCTCATCTACTGAAAAATACGTGAGGCTCAAGCCTCACCTGTCTCAATGGCTCCGCCGCCACTGACTTTATGTTATTTCCATTGGTTATACACAAAAAAAGAGAATCCATTAAGAGATGCGACAAATAGATAGGGATGAACAGAACGAAAGGAATTTTTCTGCGACGATGCGTACTAGTGCCAGGAAAATGCAACTATAAATTTTTATTGCAAGTTGAGTTCTTTTGAAGGTAAAATTGAAAAAAAGATTGAAAAAGTTCTTTAATTACAGAAACGCTTCAATAAAAATTTAAGTGCATGAGCAAGAATATCCAGCGATATAGCAGTAAGTTGAGCTCATCGAAAGGCCTCATGTCTTGCCTCAAGATCTGTACATAGTTCTAGACTTTCTTGATCACGAATGTCAAGAATTGTATGCGCTTGCAAAAAAAAGTTCGATTAGGGCGATGAAAATACAGACAAGAAAACAAATTTGATTTACACAGCAGTTTTACATAAAAATAATAATCAAATATGTTCATTGGTTTGATCTATTGATGCTATTTTCGTGTTTCCATCAGCAAAGGTTATCAGACGTACTCCTGATTTATGTGCTGAACATACTTTTGAAGCATCTCTTTTTTCTTCAATATCTTTTAATGTTCGTCTTCGTAGTTTTGCTGCTGGAACTGTTGACACTACCTTTCTTGTAGACATAGATGACGATGCCGCTAACGGTGACGAAAATTTACAACAACACGGATAAAGTGCATAAAATTCACGACGAAAACTACGATTAATATAATTATAAATGACAGGATTCATCCAAGCTGATAATGATGATATTAAATAACAAGGTATAAGTAAAAAAGCATAAACAAAATTCGGTTCATCACGTGTTATTTCTTCATTATGTTCTAAATAAATTTGTACGACAGTCAATGGTAACCATGATATAGTAAAAAGGGCAGCGACACATATCAATAATTTTTTACTACGATGAAAACGTCTTTCGCTATGTGATTGAACTCTAACATTGGGTATTAATGCAGGATTAACATCTGACTGGGAAAGAGAATTTGGTTGCTCTAAATCTAGTGAATTTGGATGTTGTTTACGATTTTTAAATAAGCTACGAAGACGTTTTAATGAATGATTGTTTTTTTTTTCATCTTTAACCACTGCCACAGATATTTCTTCATAATCAGCGAATTTATGTTCAGATATATTATCGAGATCAGACGGTTGGTGTTGAAGTTTGGGTTCTTTTTGTTTTTTAGACTGCCTATTATCATTATTACCTGTAGAACGACGTACTTGATATGTACGCATCTGTTTCATACGTCCTTTAAGAAAACGACTAATTGAATAACAACTAACCGATACAAATATGAACGGTACTAGATATTGTACAGTGATCACAATGTATGAAAATATTCGCATACGAATACCAGGATTTAAAACACAAAAATAAATCTTTTTCATATGACATGAGGGTTTTGTCATTTCCATTAGTGGAAAATCTGTATCATTGTAATCGTTTCTTGTATGTAATGATAGTTTCGTTTTCATCATTGAAAATGGTATTGGTGGTGGTGCAAATTCTTGTATATGTCGAGATATAAATTCAGGTAATGCAATTAATATCGATACAAACCAAAGTAGAATAAGTGTTATGATTGTACAACGACGATCGAACTTTTTTTTATTAACAATAAAAAACCAACGTTCAACAGATATTGTGGCAACAGTAAATGTTGATACAAGAGCTATTACTGTTGGAGCAAAATTGAGAAGTTTACAAAGAAATGCACCGAATATCCAATGCTCGAGCAATGCAGCTGATAATGTCATTGGAATCGATACGCATAAGACAATTAAGTCATTTACACCTAAGAATTCGATTTAAAAAAAAGTCACATTCGTAGATGATTTATTCTTATTCAAAAATAAATATGTTCAACTTACAAAGATTCATGAGAAATGTATTTGTTATTGATCGTAATTTTTTTTGTTGAAAAAATATAAGACATACACTAATATTACCAAATATGCCGAAACAAAATGGTAATAAATAAATGCCATATATTAATAGTGTTGTGCTTAGTGAAAAACGCAATTTAACTGATGCAAAATTTTGAGAATATGAATCATCATTGATACAAGAATCATCCATAGTATGCATTGAATCGAGCGACATGTTTCAATGCTGAGTAATATTCTAGAAAAGTCAAAAAAAATATATTAGACAAAGAACTTGTTTTCTTTTAATGTTAAACGTTTTTAGTTCAAATCAAATACATGTAGGTCATATCTACGTGAATGTTTATATTAATTGATTCATGCTTAACAGTCTATTGATATGTGAAGAGCATGCAATTTATAAAGAAAAAGAGTAACTTATGAATTGAATAGTGAAAGAAGCAGAACGGGAAGAAGAAGAAAATAAATGTTATGACTTCTAAGGAAAAAGATTCTTATCAAATAGAAAATGAGAAAGAGATTTACAATAAATTGAAAGAGCGACTTGCTTCTTTTTTAATAATTTTGCTCTAAAGAATAATCTAACTAGTGATATCAAGCGTGATAAATGTTAATAGAATAACGAAACAGAACTGCATCGCAGTTCCATTTATTCAAACTAATATTTTTCTCATCAAACAGATTATTGAAAAAAGCAATTACATTATATTATTAAAAAAAACATTCAAAAGCCTTGTTCAGCCACGCGTATCTAATGATCTATTGCCCATTATTTGTAGCAAAATATTTTCAGAATACACGAAAGAAAAGTGATTAGCTGTTTGAAGAGTAAGCACAGATTGTTGTCGCGGAAACGTTTATAAATAAGTTTTAAAATGAAAAAAAATACAACAGCAATTATAATAACTAAAGTTTATAACGCATTATATAGAGGATTGAGATCTGTATATTTGTCATCACATAGAAGTAGTTTTTCTTGTTTGTGTTTCATCAAGATCTAGACGACCAATGTGGTAGTGCTCATTTTATTTTCTGTATAACTAATGATAATTCTATAGTACATGTTCATCTATGTTTACCAATAATTTATCAGAAAGAACGTTTCCATATAAATATGGATTGCGCAGAATAAAAGTCAGGAAATATAGCCGGAAAATAGCGTTGTCTTACAGCATAAAAACACATGAAAGATTAATGACCAATGACACACATATTTCTGCTGCAAATATACGCGTAAAATGTGATGCATTAACCAGTGCAGACAAGGTCCATTTTGCACTTTGATTGCGTAACTTTTTAATAAAATATTTATTTCAAATACTATATTTTAGAATCTTTATCAAATCACTCGCACTCTTCTTCTATTTTATATTATTAATATGATGTCTATCGTTACATTATCATTAATAAATTCTATATTTAAATATAGAATAGATGATTATTATTGTGATTAATTTCGATAATAAGATGTTCTCGTGTAGTTTTTTACTATCTTGATTAGAAGATAATTTTTGAAGTTAGGCTTTTTTCGTCTTTTCAATCTCACACGAGACTGTATACAGGACAAACTTCATCTATATTCATGAGACGACTTGAGTACATGACTTACTTATTAGGAATATCTCTAGTTGCCAATATCTGTTGAAGATATTTTCACAATGAAAAACGAAAAAGAATCTTGATACTAACTATAGAATATTTCTTCATCATAAGAAATTAATAGTGTAATATATTATACTATTTTCTTACTATTGCATTCAATCGAATGCCATTTTCAGAAAACTATGAGTGTAGTTCAATAATATATAAATGAACCCATCTTCTATGTTGTTATAATGTGTCCATGTATAGATTGGAAACTCGGTCAACTAATATTTATAATACTATTTAATAGCTTGTTTCTCGAAAGATTACGCATGATCGATTCAATGAATAACATTTTTATAAAAGTACTCTAATCTACACAAATGAAGATCGTTTTATTAAGGTCGATTAAAGTTACTCCGTCGCAAAAGAAACGATACAAAAAAAAGAAACAGATCTTTGTAAAAAAAAAGAAGAGAACCTACCGAGTATATGCTTACATATCGAACAATAATTATTCTTAAACAATGATGAATTGTTATTATGAATTTGCGTTTGATAAAAGAAGACAAAACAAGAACCCTTTCTGTAGTAATCGACTATTTATTTCCTGATTCTCTACTTCTTCATCTCTTACTTGCGAAACTTATATAATTATAAATGCATTGGCAATCGAGGGCAAAAGCTAAAAGTCTATCTATGCGCTAAAAACAAAAAAAAAAGAAAGGAAAAAAGCCTTGTCATCTTCATCATCATTATCATTATCATAAGCAAAACTAATCAGTCATAATATTCTCGCTATGAAAAAAACAATTTTATCTGCCAAGATGTACGTATAAAATACAAGAAGCAAGACACGAGATTACCGTTATGCTGTTATTTTTTATTAAAATACCTGCATCGATTCCTTGTCTTTATTCGAAATCTAAAGAGAATCTTTGATTCTAATTGATTCAAACGAATAAAATACTAGAAGAATGGCAAAAGCCAATAATAGAATGTCATCTTGTCAATGATAACTACGTTATAACAAAAAATATTCTTGCTAGAAAAACAAAAACTATGAGAGTAAAATGCCAATCTATTATCAATGGTTTGCAATAATAAATTTTTATGCCTTTTCAATTTTCATCTTTAGATCTATATACTTTAAAAGTCCATTGAGACTGGTTACTTCATTAGGTGTAAAATACAGCTGTCATTTATAAGTAGTTTTATATTTAGGATATAATTGATATTAGGGCATGAACAGCTAAATGAGGCTCTAATATCATTAGAATCTAATAACCTAAATAGATCTCATCGTGTACTTCTGATGCCAGAGCAGAATAATTGACACATCTTTGCAAAACTTCAAACGCATAATTTGTCATAATACTGGCATATGTTTCCAAAAGCAATTAACAGAAGGCAAGCGATTTGTTTATTCCACAAAGAATAAAAACTTTCCTGATTTCTACCTACTTTATAAAGAATGCCAAATATTGAAAGAAGGAAAATACGTGAAATCATGACATATTTCTTCAAAGTTAGTCGTCTTTAATATTTATCAAATTTAAACAATCTTCTAATTAATTTCTTTTCTTCTTAAATGCAAACAATAGAGACGAAAAACAAAATGGATATTTAATGGTCGCTGAAATAGTCATTTAGAAGAAAAAAACAGAAAACTTAATCAGGATTTTACAAATTATAAATAAATGCATGTTATTCTGTTATTTAATAGAACCTTTTCTTTTCTATAATTATACTGCGACTTGCCCAAATGTCACAGCGTGACATTTTGACAAATTGTTTTGCAATTAGCTCGAAAAACATAAGAACTAAGAAGATCTTTCAAAAATCATTCGATGTAGCTCATTATAATCTGTTTATGTTTCAAAAATAACCTAGTTTGACTGAAATCTCGCGTTTCTAGAAAGACTCTATCATCGTGTAGCACTGTGACAACAAGGACCCTTTTCTATAGGGCTGCTTATAAAACTCTAATTTTTTGACAAATCATTTCTTCAAATGAAATGCTTATGGTACCAGTTTTGTAGAGAATTGAATGGGCATTCAAGCAGTAAAAAATACTTTTTCTAAACTATTTTCGCTCGGATAAAAAATGACAAAAAACAAACGTAACGCTGTGACACGTTTTTTTTTGTCGACCAAATTTGAAGTACTTAACATGCTTAAAAATTTTTAATGTTTATATATATTGATCACTGCCGTACATATATCCTTCTGTAAAAAAAAATCAAGTTGCTACATGGAAATTGGAGCTCAATAATTGTACAGTAAGTCAGAAACTGTACAAGCGCTTAGAAGTTGTCTTGAGGAATGAGAGTAAAAACTAAACAGACCATTTTGTAGAGAATCAAATTCTGCATCGAATGGTGTATTGGTCTACATTTTTGTTTTAAGTTTCTTGGTTAGAAAATGGAAAATACGATTTTTGAAAACTTCAAAAACGCGGTTTTCCACTCCCAAACTCAATTTTTTTCTGAAAAAAAAAGTCCAAATTCATAATCAGTGTAAAAAACTGTACCAGAAAATACGTTTAGATCTGTCCATATCGAAAAAAGAATTTTTAAAACTTGATCAGCGAAGTAGCGCGCTACGTGGACAAGCCGACTGTTATACTACGTGTACGTCTACGGAAAGGTTTCTACAGAACCTTGAAAAGTAATTTACTCTTGGATCCTTCCTTTCAATTTTTCATGTCAAGAAATCATACAGAAAGTCAACTATACAAGATAATTATTTCTTTTCTCGTAGTGGTATTTAATCTGCGCAATTTTCAGTAAAATTATTCACTCATGAAAACATTTTAAACGGTCAGGATCGCATGTACTCTCAATACCTGAATAATGTGAAAGACGTATCCCAACCATTTATGTTGGCCAAAAGAAAAGTGTAAACAAAACTTTTTAATTTGTTTTATAAATACTGTGAAATGTACCGAAACTTAACGTTTGGAAAAAAACACTTTGTATGAATGATAAAGTTTCACCCTTCAAAAAGAAAACAATGTGGATGCATATCAGTTCATCAGAAAAAAAAATAGGATATTATGCACATCTAATTATGTACTTAATATAAAAAAGGAATAATACATGATAAAGTTATATTAACAGTGAATTAGCTATAATAATACTGCCTTGTTGTGAAAATTTTCTTGTCTGCAAATCAGTTTCATATAGATTAATTTAAGAAAGAACCAGAAGGTTTACTGCCGAGAAAAAAAATCTTTCCCGATAGATCTTACAAGCACGAAACAAAAATGCGGAAAATCTTAACTCACCTACTTCTGTTACAATTCCTATTAGCATACTTACGGTAAATTAATTGTAATGTTTCTAAATTGACACAGATTCTTTAGTACAGGCTACATATACAATAGAAAAATCAAGGAGAAAAAACTCTAAATAAACTGCATAGATTCATTAAGTAGAAATATTTTAAGATTAACAGAAATCGTGATGTGATGATGTTGAAAAGTAGTGTAAATTGATTGTATCATTACTTTGTTTTTGTTGTCAATTCTTAAAAACTCATACGAAGAATAAATAGAAGACTGCTGTGAGAAACATGTAAGAAAAATCAATTAGATTAATAAATGGCTACACAAAATTGAGTCGAACTAAATGTAAATGTAATTTCCTTCTCCATCAAACCCATAAAAAAATAGTCGCTCTTATATCTAATGATAGAGAACACGGAGCTATATACAACTAAGAACTTAAAATTTTGCAAATAACAACTTTTTAGACCCGATTATCGAAATGTTTGTATCTATATGTATATGCATTGTGACTCGCTGCAATTCATGCTTTGCATAAATATAAGAGTGAGTCTCTAAAGCGAAGAATTCTATATCAAAATATAGCAATATCATTATTCTGCGGATTTTATGAATAAAATTCAATCCTATGAAATAAAGACGTTTTTTCGAGTATCATCCACTCTTCTATAACATGCTTACTTTTCTTGCTACTCATGAAAACTAATAAAAATTATGTTCTATTCAATTTCTTATATTTGGCGTACCCTTATGTCCAACGACGAGCAACAGTCAATAGAAAAAAAAACTCATGAAAGGCCAAATATACTATTGAGTAGAATAAAATGGTTATAGAAAGAGATCATTCCTGAGATGTGAATAATTTCTAAAGAAGAAAACAAAGGAAAGGTTCTATTGCCCACAGGCATCGTATACGATTATAAACGGAAAAGAAAAACGGAAAGGGGAAAATATTGATAATACTATCTTTCTGATGTAGCAACTCTAATCAGCCTGTTTATATTATTTAAATTTTACAGGTCATCAGCTTGGAATAATCAGAGTACTTGATATACGTTGATAAATAGCTAACCAAAAGTGTCTTTTTCATTATTCAATATAAAAAAAACTATGTAGTATTAACATCTATTTTTCGTATTGTTTATATGAAGTTTTTTTTCCCAGCACGCTTCCTTTTTGTCTTTATACATTAGACTCCATCAATGAAATAAATAATTTACTTCAACAAGTATTCGTACCTCATACAACGATGCATGCGTAGTAGAAAAATACTTTATCAAACATTTCAGTGTAAATTAGATCGGGGGAGAATGCTATGTAATATAATTATATTTGTTCATCAAAGATGTTTTCTATTAATTGTATTAGCAAATAAAAAGCTACACTCAGTTGAGTGGCATCAAAATTAATCTAGATATGTGGCATCTACAGTGTTATTACATATGGTATTTTAAGAGATTTCGATTGTTTTTTAATAGAGCTTTTACATAATTCGATCATGCTTTGTAACGCATTCGAAACTAACCATATTCATAATAAATTGTAACACTTTTGTATATAATTATATATATATATATAGTTAATAAAGAAGCAAACAACAAACCTGTTCTTTGAATGCGATGTTTTGACTTTTTTTAAATTTCAGCAGGAACTTTCTTTTTTTTAATATTATTAGACTAGAACATTTATTCATCTTAATTCAAGTTCAATTCTCATATATCTCGGATCGTATTCATAAAACATTCAGATAATGATGGTTCTTGAGCTTTTTCATTTTCTTTTTTCTAGAGGTGTATTTTGCCCTGAGAGTAATAAAATATTCTACTCAACATCTAAAAAGACCAATTATAAAGAAGAATTGTTTTAGAACAGCAGAACAAAGAACAGTTTCGCCCGATAATTGTAGAGTAGTATTTCAACTCTCTAACGAATAAGGTTACTCGATTTAATGATGGAGAAAAAAGCAATATATATATCATTTTACTTTGTTTTATCAAAATATGTTCGTGTCATTTGCATAATTATCAAGTTTTGATATTAACAGCAAAAAACAAGGCTTTTGTGTGAGGTTAGAAATCATCGTGACATTATTGCTACTATCCGTTTTTATGATCATCAAAACATATTTTAGATAAATTGAAATAGACATCTTGCGTATTATTCAATAATGCATAGTTTTCGATCTAGACAACCTATGAGGAACGAAGAAATTTAATTTTTTTGTATCATTTATTTTTCAATATATACGTATGCATGAATGAAATTTGAGATATTTTTATGGAATAATCTAATAAATCAATGAAAGATTATTTTGCTTATAAAAAAAAACTATTGTCGAAGCAGCTTTGAAAAGTTTATGAGGTTGCCACATTTGCGCTGTTCTTTTTAGTGTTTTACAAAATGTCACAAACATCCTGAGATACTCTTTTGCTTTGTACAGCAAAATATCAATTTATTTGTATTTTTATTTTTTCAAATCTCTAATGGTTAGAAACAAACGCCTACAATCCAAAAAAGCTTTTTACTATTTTATCTTTCATCTTATTCAAGACATTGTGCCGTTTATTGCAGTGCTTTTCTACGATTACATTTGTGCAGAAATATGGTACATGAAAAGACCACAAGCAACAGATGCATTCAATGAAGATATTTCACTATCACTATTTGGTTGAATGCATACACTATAATGACACATTTTCACTATTTCCTCCGAAATTCCTTCATGTTCGTTTCCGATCAGTACAATAATACGTTGTAAATTTGTAGTTGAAAATTTTTTCTTGACGTCTTCTAAACGGAATGTTCGTAATGAAGTATTTCCTTGATGTGCAGCACAAATGAGAGCTGTATTATTTTCTTTGTGTAATGAAGTTAAATACGCATTTAAATCATTACATGTATATATAGGCATTAATTCAAGTGCACCTGAACTAGCTTTGCTAGCAACTGGCGATGGTTGACATGTGCCACGAGTCAAAATAATTCTATCAATACCAAAAAAGTGTGATGTACGAATAATTCCACCTAAATTCATTGGATCATGAATTTTAACAAGACATAAATCTAAAGAAATTTTATTTGAAGTAGTTTTTATTCCTATTGTTTGTTCAATATCTTGAGTCGGTATTGGTGAACAATCGAGACAAACACCTTGATGTGGTCGATCAAATGATAAGCGATCAAGAGTATTTGTACTTGTGTATTTAATTGGTATTGATAAATTTTCTGCTAATTGCTGAATATTTTGTATGATTGGACGATTTTCATTTGAGGTATTACTAAGAAATAATTGATAAAATTGGCGATGCTTGGTTTTCAGTGCTATTTCAATTGGATATAAACCAAAGAGACATTGACCACGTAGAGAAACTTTCAATAACGATTCATCATCATCATCATTATTCGTGTTTGCATATGTTTGTTCTTTCATAGAAGTTTTTCTGAGACGATCACTTATTGGTTTAGTAAAGTCAAGTTCAGGCAAACGTGTTTTATTATGAAAATAGCGAGGCAGAACATTGCGAAATAAATGCAGTTTCATCTAAAGAATTTTTATTTATTGATGATCATGCGTTTTAAACTCTTCTATATATTTTATTTACTTTTTCTTTTTCAATATTAAAAATCTGTCACAAAAATATATATATATATATCTAACCCAACAAACAAAATACTAAACCAACATGCTATTTGTCTGAAGAATTTAAAATCTAAGTGCTGATAATAAAATATACTTGTAAATGTACAGATCTGTTTAAAATATCCAATTAAGAATCTAATTAGAAGAGGGAAAAAAGAACGGCATGAGAATTATTATAATTCAAATATTGACATACTACCTGTTCGAACACGTGGATATGGATGATCGAGTAATGCTCTCGCTAATGGTCGTTCATTGACATCAGGTGTTAAACATAATTGAATAAAATCGTATGCTTCGTGTTGTTTTTTTAAGTCATCGGGAATCGGTGGACCTTTTTTGGCTAATAATTGATTTTGAATATAAATACGTTCTTCATGTGGACGCACGATATTTGTCCAAGGTGGCTAATATGTTAAGAGAAATATGCATTATGTTTAATTTTGAACATAATTTATTTCACTTACTTTGCCAGTTAACATTTCGATAATAGTACAACCTAATGCCCAAATATCAGATTGATATACATATTCTGGTTCTGGTGGTTTAAAATCTATTAGAAACAAAAAAAAAAGATATATACATCTTTTTATTAGACTGATAAACACATTCAGAAGCCTTCACAAGATGTTCTAAGCCGAATATATATATATATATATATTATAGTTATAGCTAAGAGAAAATTACTAAAACATTGATTTATTTTTATCTTGTTTTTATTTCAATTTTATTATGAAATTTTCTTGATTTTTCTAAATTATTGCAATTGATTATTTTATCAATGATCAAAGAATTTATTGAAAACTTATTTTATAAAAGAAATTGTAAATGTAACTTACTTTCAATTAAAGATATTTTCTTAGATAGGTTAGCATAACCTTTTATAATTACTGATAAAATTTGTAATTAAAATATTTCTCAAGTGAGTATATACCGCTTCCGTACCCTTTTCTAAGATGCCGGCTTAGCTTTTCTCTTCTCTTCTCTTGTAATGTCACATTCCAAGTAAATATTCTGACTGCACAACTGAATCCAGTCGTAATTCTTCTATTGTATAGCGCTCGCACTCGAATAGGCTCGAATGAAGCATCAATGTTAAAGGACGATATTTTAAGAATTACGACGAAGACACTTTACTATTAACGTCTTCATAAAGTACTTGATATTTTTTAATAGAGTTTGTCGTGTCTATTTTTCTTGTAATCTGCTTTCAGATTCTAAAAGTATCCTTAAAGTTTTTAATAATCTCTTCTTTTCTTGATTCTTGATATGTTTACAATAAACGTTGCGATTGAAGATAGCACGTTCATTAATGATTTTCTTATGACAGTAACTCAATATTTCTCTATTGTTAATAGAAAAAAAAAATTCTTGAGACGGTCTCGAGTGGCATGAAGATAAATGCTTTTTTTTTAATTTCATAGATATTTATCAGTAAAAATTTAGTCTAATCATCATTTAAATATGTCATGTTGTTTTTAGTAGAAATTCTTACTTTATAATATACTTACATAAAGTACCAAATTGTGTACTACGAGAGTCACTATCATTTTGTGAGCATGATTCTAATTCCAATCGGTGAGATAAATTAAAATCCTAAATAAAAAAAGACAGATCATTACGTTTCTTTCTATAATACATTAAATTCTATATACACATACGCCCAATTTAACAATATAATGTCCATTTTGATTTGCAATAAAAATATTATCACCTTTAACATCACAATGAACGATAGAATGTTCGTGTAGAGCTAATAATGCTTGTAAAAGTTGTTTGACAAATCCTCGAACAAGCTCATTTTCATCCAGTGATGGAGCTAGACGAACACAATCTGTATTTATTTCATCATCTTGATCACTTGAATCAGTCCATATACCACTATTTGACTTTCGAATATGTGCCCGTTTCTGAAATGCACGAATATCATTTAAAAATTCATTGACTGTTGACAAACAATATTCCATACAAATATAAATTGTTCTCTAAATAGAAATGAATTCATAAATACAACAGATTTCTTTGATCAAACAAAAAATTTCCTACCTTATATTTTTCAATACCAAAATATCGTACAATATTTGGATGATTAATAGTCATAATCATTTCAATTTCTGCTGCAATACGACGCAATTTCTCAGGATAAGTATTTGGTAATGAACGAGATGCTATCGATGATAATTGTATTTCTTTCATACATACAATTGAACCATTTGAACAATTAATAGCGCGAAATGCAACACCAGCACCACCTTGCCCAATGCGTGTACCACGCCGCCAAGGAAAATCAATATTACGAGTTTTTAACGATATATCAGGATCTAATGCAATACTACTTGATGTTGTTGTATTGCTACTATTAAATATTTGTCCAATTTGTTTTCGTTCACGAAGTTTTTGTTGTAATTCCTGTTCACGTTTTGCTACACTGTGTTGCATACGTTCAATAGGACTGATAAATGTCAATGGTACTAATTCATTAATACCGCTACTACTATCCAAACGTCGATGTCCAGCTGTTAAAACAAAACAAAAATAAAAGAAGATTCAAGATAGTTTTTTTTTAAATATTGCAGATGTTATGTTATATTCGTACTTGATCGACTATGTTGTCGAACAGATATTGTTGGTATTGATGATGCACTATTTGAACGTGCTGTAAGAAGTAAAATAAATTCATAAATGAAAGTGAATAAAATTTTATTTTTGAAGAGTCCAGAATCAAGAAATCAATCAATTGAAAAAGACAAACGATAAGTTAAAGCTCGTGATATCGAGGAGCAAAAGAAATCAAGAGTTAGTAAGAAAGATATACTCAAAATCTATAAGAATTTAATCTTGAACTAATAGATATCATGCAATTTTAATTCAATTGCATTCAAATCTAATCTTTTAATATATCAAAAAATGACGATTTCAGAGAGAAACAGATCAAGGTGTGAAACGATCAAACGAATCATTAATCGGACCCAAGCTTTTACTATTCAAGTGTCAAGCTTGATATTTCTACTGTAATGTACACTGATTAGAAGAGTATCACATACTACTAATTGCTTACCAAGACCAAGATTTCGACGAAGATGATTACTTAGAAAATATTTATCTTTTTTTTCCCATAAAAGTGGCGAATAAAAATCATGATTAATTTTCTTCACTTATTTTATAATTATTTATTAAAATAGACCGAAATTTACCTTTTATAACAGATGATTCTTTATTATCCAATGTGTTTCCACGTAGAGCCTTAAGTGCTGCTGGCATTTCTGTCATTAATTTTCTGTATTCATCTTCAGTTAATAATTGTAAATGAGGAGATTTTGCCAAAAAACCAAGAAAAATCATTCCAGGTGAAAACCATCTTGGCCTATTGAAAAGAACAATAATTTCTAGATTTTAATTATAGAAAACTGTACCTAAGAACTTTATATTTCGCTGTGCTGGATTGCTGCGTTAATGTGTATTTAAATTTTTTGGTAACACATTTACACCATTCACAAAAAAATTCATTCATTAAACTAACGAATTTTTTCAGTATTTTATCATCGTGGATTGAGATTGGTGGTAAAAGATCATATAAAAGACGAAATAATTCAAAACCTGAATTGTATACATATAACACAAGATCGAGTAATTTCGATTCAATTGTACGTAATTCTCTTTCATCAAATTTGACGATTTCAGTAAGAAAGATTTTTATTGAATCTTGATCCCATATCGTATTAAGTATACGAACGAGATGAGTTAATTGATTACTAAATTTATCGATATATTCCTATTCAAACGAGCAAAGCAGAGATTTATATATATATATATATCGATTGTTAAAAAGGAAGCAAACATATACGTACAGGTAATTGATCGAATGTTACACGTATGTCTTCATCTCGAGCTAATTTTTTAATCAATTGAATATTATTATTTGCTTCAGTATGAAATTGAAATAAATCAACTGCTTGTTGCCAATGATCAGATCTTGTAACAACCAAATGAAGACATGGTAGTTCAGTTGAATTTAATGCTAATTGTGTACTGTCACTTGCTCGAATAAGTACAATGTCACCAGTCCAATATGTATTGTGAGAATGAGAAGCTTTCTTTGGTATAAATATCATATATGAGGGTTTACTATCTTTATTTGCTTTGGTTAATTCATCTGCTGGTGATTGCTGACTACAAATAAGACTTAATAATTTTTCAACTTGACTTTTATCTGTTGTTAACCATGGTGGAACAAATAAATAAAAGCTATCAAAATCATCTGAACTCTACATTCAGAAAAAAATAAAATAGAACATCTGCTTTCATGTAAAAACCCAGAAACAGCTATTTACTTACAGATTTATCGATATGACGTTTGACTTGAGCATAGTTATGATGCCGAAGTCCATACCAGAGGTCATGAAAATTATGACATTTAAATTCTGCTGCAATTGAAAAATCCTATAGAAGATAAAAACGAAAGAAGATTACGAAATCATATTTTATTCTTTAATTAACTTACATCAATAAGAGTTTTACCCAATGAACAAATGCGTATTGTTCGTTGTTTGATTGTATCAAAACTTCGACGAAATTCACGCGTACTATTGATAATTTCACATCTATAAATCAACAAAAGATGAATTTTATTGTATTAAATTGCTTGAAGTATTCACGGATTACTTTTTTTGTTCAGAAAACGATGCTCCTGGCTCGGCAATTGAAAACTCTGCTTGAGCAAAGTCAGGTGGAACACTGGCTGATGAGTGAAAATAAGGTGGTTTTACGGTGTCAGATATGACGCTATAAAAATCAAAACAAATATATAATAAAAAAATCAACAGAATACTTTTTTGGTTTCTTTTATAAAAGACTTTTAATTCTGAACTTTCAATTTTCTTATCTTTTTCGTGGAATATTTCTGCTAACACAAAAAAATTCTTACAGATGAAAGCTACTCGTTGTAGATTATCTATGTGAATGTTTAGTTTTTTTCTTTTCACTTACTCAGCTGAATAAAGTCCATCCATGGTATTTGATGCATTGCCTGTATCAGCTGCAAATACTTGATAGTATGTTTCTGTTGTTTCATATAATTCTTCTTTCAATCGTGCTAATATGCCTCTCACAAGATCACTAAAAAAATGTAGAAAATCTTGATTAAAACAAAATCCTAAAATAAATTCTATCAGCAAACTTGAATTGAAATCCCAATGCATGAATTAAATCTCGATTGCCCAATGTTAATGTAAGATCTCGAGCAAAGTAATATTCTTTTATTAATTCTGATGTTTCTTCGTCGACATAGTAATAATATTCTCTATCAGTTTCATTCATCGCAATTTGTGGATTGTCATTTAGAATATCATACGTTCGATTAATTGAAACTGTACTTAAAAATTGTTTATAATGCTAATAAATAAAGAAATAGAATTCATGTATGAAAAAAGAAACGACAAGTAAAATGTTAACACAACCTTAGAGCGAATTAAAAACTCTCAGATGTAGCGCAGCGACTCACTACTCATTACAAAATGGTTATTTCATATGATCTACATATTGAGGCTAAGTTAACAAATCCGAAATGCATTAAACGACATCATACGTTATGCACCAGAAGAGCAAGACGCTCCCATTTTTAATATATCCGTATCTGAATATTGCTGTTTAGATTATCTTTTTTGGAAAGAAAAAAAGAACCATACGAACCATATAAAGATTAACTATTTTTTCGTCGAATTCTGTTAATTCGTAAGCAATTTTTCGATGAGAAATAAATTGTTCCATCATACGAACACTATACAAGCGGGTTGCTAAGGCATCTCTATAGAAATTAAATAAAGTATTAACAGCTTCATAATTGTTTTCAATGATACTAACCTTAAAACAAGTTTCGCTTCGCGAACAAGCTAAAAATGGAAAACCGAAAAGATTAAAAGAAAAGTAGATTCAATTTTTATGTTCCTACTTGTTGTCGGCAAAGTGGATCTATTTCAATAATATCATTATTCATATACGGTTTAATATACAAGCTTAAACATTCATTCATAACATCGAGTAGCACATTAACAACAAAAAAATATAAAGGCAATAATGAAGGTAAACCTAATTGTTCATGTAATTCAAGCCAATTGTGTTTTAATAAATCATCTGTATGTGAACAGATAATTTTGATTGTTGAACATGATTTTAAGACATGATGTAACCATTTTTCAATAGTCAATTCACCTATATTTGTATTTGTTGTATTGTCATCTTTAACAGGATTGTCGGTATCAACTAGTTTATCATCAATATCATCGTTATTTACATTGGCTTTAGAATCTATTTGATTTTTATCGGGTAACTGAAAATCATTTAGAGATAAACCGGCCAGAATTTGTTCGATTTTTATTTCACTTCGATCTGTTGTTTGTAATAGAGCAAGACGAGTTTTGAATAATACAGGCGCAACACGTTCAATTAATGTTCGAGCTAAACCATCGTATTTTACTTGATAAGAACGCTTGTCCATATAGTAAACAAAATTACTAAATAATAACTAATCGTTTAACCAAAAACAAATAATTCAAACGTATTAATTTTTACCGATAACAGACTGTTCTATCTAATTTGTATGGCGCAGCATTCGTTGTTGGGTGAGATGATTCGTCAGATACTACGGGGAAAACATAAAGATTTTTTGTTTTTTTTATTCTCAAAGTTTCAAAATTTACTTTTGAGATTCGAAAATTGATCAAGTGGTTCATCGGGCCAACAAATCTAGACAAAATCAATAGAGAAAAAAATATGTTAAATCTAATCATTGGTTCAAGAAAAAGTGTTACATGAAAAAAGTGCATATGCATATAATGGTGCGAAAGAATACGTTAGTAAAGTCTAGTTTTACTCCATTGAGTATAATCTTATTTTGTTTGAATAAGCTTCATCTTAAGGAAAAAAATAAATCGATTGGATTAGCTGAAATGAATGAGTCCAACTTCTTTATTACATAGAAAACTAATATTCCCTTCCTACGAAAAAAAAACAGCTTTCTCAAGAAATGAAATAACTTACTTTTGGTATAATATCAGTATCATCTGTTTCTTCAATTTTTTCAATAACACTTTTCTGTGATACATTTTCAATTTCACTTTCTTCTGTTGCTTTTGCATGATCATTGCCATCATTATCTTCATCACTACTGCTGTCACTTGTATAATCATCACTTTCTTCTGCTCGTTTTGCCTTACGTTCACGATCTGTTGCAAGTGAACGAAAATGTAATTTTGGCCAATCTTCACAATCGTTACAACGCAATAAACCACTTAATTTCTTCACAGATATTGTTAATTCATAATATAAATTATACCAAACACAAATAGCATCAAGTCGACGATGAAATAAATCTAAATGATCATCTGTATGGCCACTATCAACATGTTTTAAACAATAGAGTATATGTTGTTTCTCCGCTACGTCAAATAATTTTTGTGTTAGATCCTTTTCTGTTTGTTCACAATCACGAATATAATCGTCAGATAATGTACGAAAAAACCGTAGTGGATGATCTTTAAAAGATTTTAAATCATCTAAGGTTTCATTTGTTTCTATAGGGGTTAATGATACTCCTGAAGTATTTGATAAGTCACTATCGTCTATGTTAATTTTACATTTCGGCACATCATCTTCAGTTTCACTTGAACAAGTTGATAAACGTACAGGATCATTAGTCGATTTTAATAAATCTCGAATACTCTGAATTAAAAATCTATAATGATGTGATCGATTCATTTGATAACTAGTTATTGAATCAATAAAAGATTTTGTTTCAATTCTTGAACATCGTTGTTTCATTGGATTCTGTAATGATAATTCATTTAAACGAGTATAGAGAAAATCTCGAATAGATGAATTCTGCGATGGATATTGTATACTTGCATGAAATGAGTAATTTAAAAGTAAATTATTAATCATTGTTATATGTTCATTAAGTATTGCTTTTGTATCGCGAACTAATGGTATTGATTGTTGCTGTAATGGTTGAGATAGATGTGGATGTTCATCTGTTTTAATCGTACTGGCTTTACTAAATGAACTTTTACGATCTCGTTGAACAGCAGCCAAACCACTAAGATTACGACGATGTGGAACGAGTCGTCTTCGTTGAGATGAACTACTATTTATTGGAGTAGTTCGTTGTAAATGAAGTGACGACGTAAGAGATATTGTACCAGGAGCATTACTGCGCGTTATAGCTTTAGTATTTATTAATGCACCAGTAATACTTGAATCAGAATGAATGCTACGTACAGAACTATAACTTTGACTGAGAGGATCAATATGTGATATAATTGGTTGTGGGAATATAGTCGGCGTTGGAGAATAAGGATTTATGGGTAGTGAATGGGCTTCATTTGAATTTGAATTTAAACTCGAAACAAGTTGTAATGATACTTTAGAAGAATTTAATAGACTTGTTTCCAAATGTTGTGTGTTGTTGAGAGTATTATTTGAACGAAAATGTGAACGAGCCTAGAAGAAAAGCAAATTTAATTATCAACGACAATTGTTAATAATTCTCGTATCGTTCATTATGATCAATTTCAGGACAATGATACAAAGTCTCTGACTAAAAATGTATAGGATTAGTTATTAGATAATAGCAGTTACATTTCATCTATATAATATTTCAAAAGTAACAAAACCCGACCTATAAAAAAAGTATACGCTTTGAATAGTTCAGGGTAACTTTCCAATTGTACAATATTTACAATGTATGAGATTTTGTTGACAAATTTTCAAGATTTTGCGAGCTGATCACATAGAAACCATGCTCGAACTTATTTTCGTTCTCTAAACAATCCAGAAAATCATTTATTCACAGTCCATTGCATCTTATATAAACATGAATTGAATTGTCTATTAGATTTTTATAACAACAATTTTATTATTATTATTATTATTATTATTATTACTTACCAGTACTGCTGTTTGTTGTTGTTTTCGACGTCCAAGATTTAATCGAGGATTTATTGTTGATCTTTTTTCGAGTAACCATTTTAATTGTCTCAACGCATCTATTCTTTGATTAGCAGGTGTCTTTTGTGATTTTCCATTTTTAGTTGATGCATTCATTTTTTTATTAATATAATTAAATTCATCTTCACTTGATGATGCTGGTAAATTTTCTGTACTTGCTGTTCTTGATGACGTAGCTGAAAATGAACTAGTTTGTTTTTGTTTTAAAGCATTGAAATTTGTTTCATCAGTTGTTTCTTCTTCGATTATATCAGCTGTATGCGATGGTTCAGATGCACTTGTTCTTAAATTCGATGACTCAATGGCACTTTGACCAGACAAATCTGATATATATGATATTGGTGGATCTGATGAAAGTACGGATGTCGATGACGGTATAGATAAAAATTGAGAACATAATGGAGAATTATTCAGTAATTTTAAATTTTGAGATGATAACTGGGAATCGGTTGTAGATACAGAATGGAAAATATTATCGGAAAAACTTGATGATTGATTTAATTTCCTGTCACTAGGAAAAATTTTAGTATCAGGTGATAGTGAATGATTAGTGGGATACTGATTGTTGACTATTCGAGATTTTAAGTATGGTGGTTGACTTGATATTTTTTGTGATTGTGATTTTTGGTATAATAGAAGATTATTTTTATTTGTATTCCAAGAATTATTTCGCTTTCGATTCGATAATGATTTACGACGAACTTCGAGTGAAGGAGAGCCTTCAGAAGATTTTTTCATTTTTTCAGTGGGTGATCGAGTGTGAAATTCGATTGGTTCTTCTATGGATGCTTTTTTTTCTACTTTATCAATTTCGGAATCTTCTGATTCTGGTACAGGAAGAAACTGTGATGAATAATCATCATCTTGATCTACTTGGACAAACTGATTTTCTTCATCATCATCAAATTGATGTTGACTGGAGGTTGCTGGAAACGAAAAACTTCGTTGAACATCGGTTACTACAGATGCGTTTTGCGATAGAGTCGATGAAAGTGTATCTGAACAAGCTGATATTTGTTGTTGCTGTTGTGTATCACATATAGTTGATACAGTCGATGCACGACGACTATTTGTTATTTGTTCAATTATTGTTGATGGAAGTGATGGTGATCTTTCAATAGATGATACGGCCGATTCTACTGTTGTTGATTTAACCCAAGCAGCAATCGAATGTTCATCCATATGAGTCGTTAATGATGATTTTTTAATACGTATTTGATCGAATTTCTCTGATAATGATGTATTAACATCATTGGATTCTGACTGTGATTTACTAACGCATGCTGATTCAAGTATATTTTCGTGATTATCATCAACACGGTTAAACGATGAGATTGAATTTATTAATGTTAAAGGATCAATTTGAAGTACTGGTAACGATCCATCTTTATTTTGTTCAGATATAGATGAAATTTTATCAGTATTTAAATTAGAATTCATCTAAAGCAATGATGTAGTTTTTTTTTCTTTTTAAGAAATAAAATGAGCACACCCCTAGTTAACAAGATTTCTTCTACTAATATGTTTGCTAAGAATTTTTCACAAAACTTAACAGAAAAAAAACAAACAAACAACGTCAAACGAAAATCAAGTTCTTGTTGACAATTGTGATCCTGATTACATTTTGTCTTGTATTTTGTTTTATGGTCTACATCGGCCAATAAATCGTGGATAGAAGCAAACATCACGAATATGATAACGGTTTGTTATCCATGTCATGAAACGATCAAGACCAAGGCCATAGCCACCATGTGGAAATGTTCCATATTTACGCTAGAACATGGAAAATGTTTTATTTGTTATTATTATTGATTAAGACTTACTTGATCCAAATACCAATAGTATGGTTCTGGTTTAAGACCATTCTTACGAAAACTTTCAGATAAATCTTCGAAATCTGTCATCCTCATACTACCACCAACAATTTCGCCAACATTTGGCATTAGAACATCAACCTGAAAAAATATGATAGAATGAAATAAAAATAAAAAATTAGGAAAAAAAAGGTAATTTACCGATTCAGTCAAAAGATTATTCTTAGGGTCTCGTTGCATATAAAATGATTTAATTTCAGCTGGAAATCGACAAAATAAAATCGGCTCATTGATTTGATCAGTCATTTTTCGTTCCGGCATTTCAGGTATATCCTCGCCGAACTCATAAAATTTACCAGTTTCTTCATTTTTAATTCCATTAGCTTTTAACCATTCAATGCCATCACTGTAGTTCATTCGTTTAAATGGTTTTTTCGGGGCTTTAAAATCCTACACGAGAGCAAAACAATTAATAATTTTATAAAAACAAGAAATCATTTTCTGATTCATACTGGATTAACTTCGAACAAGAGATGAGCTTCAGGATGTTTCAAAACACGATCAACAACATCAACAACAAGATCTTCAATTCGATTGAGTAAATCGTCAAATGATATAAATGAGCATTCAGCTTCAACATGCGTATATCTGCATAGAAACATTGATGAATATAAATAAAAAATATGCTTTTAGTTTTAACGTACTCAGCTAAATGACGTCGTGTACGAGATTGTTCAGCACGATACGATTGAGCAATGCAAAACACATCACCTAATGCTGGACAAGCTGTTTCAAGATAAAGTTGAGATGATTGTGTTAAATAAGCTGGTTCTCCAAAATAGTTAAGACCAAAAAGTGTAGAACCACCTTCGACTTGTGTTTGAACGACAGTTGGTGGAAATGTCTAATCAAATTCAATTCGAATTATTAAAAGCGTGTTGAACGATTTTAGTTTTTTTTTTTTGACTTACTTCATAATAACCTCGATCAAAATAATGATCCCGGAAGCATTGGGTAACAATTGAACGAAGGCGTAAAATTTTCGATGTCTAAATAACAATATCATCATTAAGGAATGCCAAAAAGAAAATTAAAAAAATCTTCACATTTTCTCCTCGAATTAGCATATGTCGGTTGTCTAGTTGCACATCAGGATGCGAATCCTATTCAAATAAATAAATGATAGATGAAAGAAAAACAAATGAATTCTATAAACAAACTTCGTTGATTAATGTATCAGCACCACCTGGCGGTGAATGTCCAACAACTTCAAAATAATCAGCTACTAATTCTTGATTGCCTGGTGCTGTTTGGCCTTCAGGTATAGGTCGGACAACACCATATACACCTACCGTTGCTTCAGTTGCCAAGATAACTGCATCATAGTTTTGACACTATCAAATAGAGAGAAAAATGATTCACTTAATAATAAATTTTTTGTCGTGCATACCAATTTATCTGCAAAGACGCATTGTAAAAATCCAGTACCATCACGTAAAACAACGAACATTAGGTTTTTTCCTAAATATGAATTTAAATTTTATATAAATAAATCTATTCAAATATATATATATATATATAATTTACCTTGTCTTCGAATGCGATGTACCCAACCGAAAACTTTGACACGTTCACCGTGTTCACTTTTCAATGCTTTAATTTTAAGCTAAAATATTCGCATAAGACTCGTTTCTAATGTTTTCTCTATTTAACATACCACTTTTGCTTTTGGTAATGATGTATCTTCAGTGATTGTAATTTCTTTTGCTTTCCTCAAATTTTCTTCTCGTTGTAATTGATCCTTTTCCTATCATAAAAACAAAAATGAAGAGTCTATTTCTCTTTTTGCTTCTGATTTACTTCTCGTTCAGCAGTAACTTTTTCCTTGCGCTTTTCATCTTCAAATCGTGTTTTCACTTTTTTTGCTTGAGCTTTTGATAATAATTCCCATTTACCCTAATTTATAAATCATAAATAAATAAGCAAATAAATGTAAAATATAAAATTTTACTTTGGTTTCATCTTTCCCATCAACGTAAACAGTTACATTCTCGCCATGTTGACGAAAAGCCTAATAAAACAAAAAAATTAAAACCAACATCTTAGCTATTTTCCTTCAAATAAATACTTGTAATGGAGTTTTAAATGGTTTCCCTTCGGACCCATCGCCTTTCTCATCACTACCGCTTTTTTCAGAGGTGTAAGCAATTGATCCTTCTAAAGTATTCGAAAAAAAAATCATGCAGATTAATATTTGAATAATTCTAAATAATATTTACGAATCGAACAAGCTTCAAGTTGTTCTGTTGGTGCTTCTGTTGAAGTAGCCATCTGTTAATATGAAATAAAAATCAACAATACAAATATAGAATGTCAATTGAAAGATCGAACATATATATATATATATGTCTGTATGGGAACATTGCATCACTCTCCTGCGTCATTTTAGTAATATTACATTACTGGAAAAAAGTGTAAACAAAAAAGGCTTCAATAGAGTATAGGCCAACGTGGATTTTTCAGACAACTAGACGCGACAATTATCGTTATGGGGGCCTCCAAACTAGTGAGCATAAACGCTGATTGGTTCATTACATACATAAATTTCAGTTATGACTCATGATTCATAAATAGTAGATACGCATATATAGAGACGAATCAATTTGAATTACCCTATTTTTCGAGGAAAGAAAATGGATAGATTTGATTTCTATATTGCTGAATATCATTATCACTCTTTCGCTTATAATAATTGAAAAGTACTTCAAAAAAAAAGGACGACAATAGTGACGTTTTTGATCATTCACTTTTGTTGGTAATTTTCTGAGAGTGAAATAAATTATTGATTAACCAGCAATGTACGATGAATCACAAACAATTTGACGTTTAAAGATATGAGTATTCCGACTGAAGTGACTATTCTATCATTTTTTACGTGAACTCAGCTGTGCTGTAACTTTAATTATTACTAGTGTAGTTATCATTTTGTAAATATGCATACAAATGATATCTGCGAAAAAGATCTATCTTACTATGTTCAACACTTATCTAGATTGATAAGCTACTATTAAGTATACACTTCAAAAGATCTTGCAAACAGATATTGCTGTGTAGAACCAATAATTAATATCATCAATTGCTTGTTAGAGATTTGATTCTAGCTAAAAATTATTGCAAAACTTATGGGTGAAGTACGATATGTGCAAGAGCTGTAAATTACAATGTATCTTCATTAGTAGTCTTATGCATGACGTGATACTGGCGTCATAATGTGATATAGTTGATGGTTGAAATAAAAAGCTGGATTTTCAGTTATAGCAATTGTTTCGAAGTGTAAAGACTTTTTAAGTGAGCACTGACTTTCTGGAGCTGATATTCTTTGCCAATACGTTTGAATCTCTTAGTGAGGATAAATTTTATTTTAATCGACCAAAGAGGAAGTAACTGGTTTCAATAGTCAAAATCACCTAAATTCATTTGAAATCAACGAAATAAGCTACTTCCCTTTTGGATTTTGTTTAAGGTAATAAAATTATTAGATGCGCTTTCATCATAGGAAATCGAAACGCATTTGGAATGTTTCCAATAATTTAGAAAAAAAACCGCGATGAACTGCTGTTGACGATTCCAACATTTGAAAATAATACTTGTTGCGATTTCTTTAAACTTTCTCAAAAAAATTAGATTCACAATTCATGATAAAAAAAAAGTGATGTAAAGCGGTGGATTAAAATCAGATAGAATTTGATTTCATATCACAAAATCCTATAGATACAATCTATGGACTAGTGATGCTAAAAACAGAATACACATTTGAATAAATGCTTATGATCTCGGATAAAGCCTTTTCTCGCAATTTAACTTAGTTTTAGAGAAATTTTACTCGATTGAAGTAATACGTATTGCTATTCAGAATCAACCGGTCACAGATCAATACTTTTTTTCTCTAAGTGACTCAATAGTTTAGTAAAAAAATTATAAATAACCAAATTTTTGATACTTTTGTTTTATAAATTTAAAAAAATGATCAATTGGCGACAATTATACAACGAATCACAGCTTATTCGACCTGAAGATTCTAGTGTTTCAACTGAAGTGATTAGCCGTCTATTTGATAAATCGATTCTATCGTAATTTTAACTATCACTAGAGGATTAATCGCTTGGTTAACATATACAAAAATGATATGATTGACCAAGACCTTTATCAATATGTTCAACGTTTATCTACAGTTACTCGTTGTTGTCAAACATGTGCACCAAACAGTTATGTAAGACATTTCCTTTTTAGTTGCCAAAAAGTACCTAAGTCTCGTAAGTTTTAGATGATATACAAATGGCTTGATACTTATATATCAGGAAATATAGATCTTTTTGGTTTTCATCTATCAGGGTAAATTATTTCTTTTTTGATTGATTTAATTCGAAGTACTCTTTAGACGATCAGTATCTGCTTTAGTTTATTATTGGAACAAGAATCTATTAAAACAATATGATGAACGTGGTCAACTATCTGATTTGTAAGTAAATATAATAAATTCGTTGCATCGCAAAATTTTTCTTTCATATTTTAGCAAACAAAATGAAGACGGTAGTATAGAAATTAATTTTTGTCATAGAAAATATTTTCTTTTATTTTAGATGCATTTTCTATTTCTCTATTATCAAATATTGATGAAAATATTATCATCAGAAAACACATGTTGACCGCTTTGATTCCTAATTTCATTAATAAACTGTTGACTAGGTAATAGAAAATGGAAAATATATTTGATTAAAAATATTTGTTTCAGATTTCAGATGTATTATACACATCGAAAGGCTCAAAGTTTTTCTTCATCGATTCAAGTTCATGCTCAGCCGATGAAATCACTTCAATTTCTATCTCAAGTAATCAATTTTTTTGGAATTTTTGTGATATTTTATTTTCTTTCTCTTTAGACAAATATCTCATCGATATTTATATGTTTTATACAAGAAGATAATAATCTTAATCAATTGTTTTGGATATTTCGTCATTTAATTACGAAATTTAATTGGCCTTTAACAACAAAAATCTTTTCAAATCGATCATTTCAAACATGTTCAATATTTGAACGTACAATGGCGAATTATCTAGGTTTTATTGATATATCAACATTAAATATGAGTCAAACGGATCTTCTTTGCGTAAGTGAAGACTCGAGAAGAAAATATTTTATAATCGTTTACTTTTTTGTTAGTATCTTTATCGATGTTTGAAAACATGCCATAAAAATGGACCAATGATTTTCCTATTTGATTATTCGACTATTTTCAAACCAACATGTTCTGATTATTATTTAATATCTTTTCTATGTGATTTAATTCGATTCGGTAGTTTTTAATATTTTCATCGATTATTCCTTATGCCCATTGTATTTTTAGACTTATCAATACCAAAATTAATGTTCATTCCAACACGTTTACATAATTCATACTTATCATTTAGTCAACCATTTTTATTTAATGTAAGATTATTTCTAGATCTTCAATATATTATTATTTATTTAAAATGAATAGGAATTATTTGATTGCTTTATTAAAAAAATAAATATTCAAAAACCATTTTGTGAAGCGACCACAATTGAACAACAGAAACGTATTCATAAATTTATTAGTTGTATTTTTCTACATTTGGCATATGGTATGTAATCAATAGTAGTGCTTTATTAAACAATTCACTGGTAGACTAATTTACTAGTTCTCCAATTCATTAAAACATCAATAAAAAGAAAGATATGCGTGCGCTCTCTATCGAGAAAAAATTATGCTGATCCATAAACATAATAGAAAACAATGATGTACCATGCATGCTATCTGATTATTTTAATTTCCGAGATTAGTTGGGGCAGATTTGCGGTGACGTTTTTTAATTCGTGAGTCGAGTTGCAGTTTAGTTGACATGAATATTGAGTGGAGTTGTATGGAGTTGACATTGGCCTAACGCTGAGTTAGAGTGGCATTTTCTAGAATTGGAGCAGAATGGTCTGGAGTTGAAGTGGCAGACAGCGCAGCTGCCCGTCTCTGGTTACGGATGGCAAACCTTGCGGGGGGGGGGGGGGGGG